AGTGGGAGATGGAGAGAGGGGCAGAACTGAGCACGGGAGGAGTGGGAGATGGAGAGAGAGGCAGAATTGAGCACGGGAGGAGTGGGAGACGGAGAGAGGGGCAGAATTGAGCACGGAAGGAGTGGGAGATGGAGAGAAGGGCAGAACTCAGTGAGGGAGGAGTGGGAGATGGAGAGAGACAGACGTAGTTGAAAGGTAGAGGAAGAGTGGAAGATGGAGAGAGGAGGGTAAGGATGGGAATGATTCACAAAGGGGTCAGAGAGTGTGATTTCACAGGACTGCTCTGCAGTTGAGGAGGATGTTTGAGGCTGTTTGTAGCTGGAATGACCTTTTGCCATGTTTCTATGATAACCTCATGGAGTCTCCTCATTTTCTCTGGAGCTGGAACATTGGTTATCCCGAGTCGAGACCAGTGATGATCAGATTGAAGCTCATGGTTAAACTGGAGCCTGTTGTGCTGGGTGTCTCAAACTGATGTATGAGCTGAACAAACAAATAATTTAAATAATGAAGGTGCCCCATGTGGAGATCATTGCAATGCAGTGATGAGTCATTCGATTAGAAAGTAACTGGTGACACAAGGGCCAGATTTAGGACTGATTGATGGTCTGTGTTAATCATCGCCTGGTAAATAGGGAAGTGAGTACATGTCGCAGTGTCTCACTGGGATTACCAGCAGAGAAGGAGGGCGGGATAGGGGAACAGGGCTGGAGGGAGGCATTGGAGGAAAAGGGAGAGAAGCTGGGGGAGACTGACAGTGATGGGGGCGAGGGAATGGGGAGAGAGGAAATGGGGATATGGAGGAAGTAAGAAGGGAAGAGGTAGAGGGGTTGGGGGTGTGTGGGGGGAACACATGGCATCTTCTCTTGGCTTTGAACTATCCCAAAGCGTTTCACAAAGTGTGGTCATTGCTGCAATAGCCTCCATCAGAACAGCTATTTGTGCAGAGTAAGATCCCACACCGGTGAGCTAAATAAGCATTTATGCTGTGGTTTGGTGACATTGGTTGAGGAAGATGTCGAGAGACGTCTTACTCCTGTTTGAATAGCACCACAGGAGCTGTGACACCCCCACCCCAGGGGCAGGGGGTGGGGGCAGGGTGGACAGGGTTATCAACCTCATGCCTTATCCAAAGTGCTGCACTAATGGATCAGCACAGTCTAGAAACAGCTTCTGATTGAAAAGCAGCAGCTTGGCTCACTTCTCCTTTGTGTGATTTAATTTTGATTCTATTTACAAAAATGAAACAGGAATACATGAGAGAAACAGCACAGGGTTGTAGAATTTGCTCAATGTCTTGAGGCTCACTGAACACTCCAAATGTTGTATCTGTGGCCTGTCTGCCCACTGGAGTCACTGTTGGAATCAACATAGGATGGGATCTTGGTTCACTTGGCACACAGTAATTCTGGGCATGCAGTAATTTATGAGGGACGCAGTTCAACAGTCCCCAGTGGTATTTAGCCACATGCCCTCCACAACTTTTCCCCCACCCTCTCCCCGATCCCTTCCCTTATGCCCTCCCCACCTTGGCCCACACGCAACCCCTTCCCCACTGTCTTCCCCACACCCACCCACTCCCTCTCCCTAACATTCTTACCCCTGATCTGTGTGGTTCCAAAGATTCTCACCACCCCCTCTCCCCCCCACCACCCACCCCAGTTGCTGTGTTGAGAGTTGTGTCGGCCATTCTCAGGCCCGCTGATAGCCCGGTCAAGTCTTTATCCAGTCATTTCCCAGTGGGCAAGACTCTCGCCTCTCACCAGTCACGAGGTTGTGTGTTCAAGACCCACCCCAAAGATTTGAGGTCACCAACTTAGGCACCACCATCACCCCCCTCCACCGCAGTGGCTGGGAGTATTGGAGCTCTTGCCCTTTAGGATCAGGTGTTAAACCACGATGCCTCTCAGGTGGAATGGAAAGATCCCATGTCTGTCAAAGAAGAACAGGGGCATTCTCTCCATCTGCAGAGAGTAGTGTGATGGAAAATCGATGAAGAGGGCCAGTTCCTGATTAAGTCACTATTCAGTGACCACAGAGGGGGAGGGGTTGCGATGTGTCTGAGGTTGTCAAGTGAGGGACGTATTCACCGTGTCTCTGATGTCTTCAGCTGGGATGAAAGATTGCTGTTTCTGTGATCTCAACATTCGGGGGCTGAGCCACGTAGTCCTGTTGTTCCATCGTGGCCCACTGGAAGGCAGAGTCTTCAATAAAGAAGATAACCAGGGGTGATAAAAGTAATGATCCTGAAAGGGTTAATGTTCAAGGTAAACTGGCTCCACCCATTCTACTGAGGTCTCCCAGTCTGTGGGTAAGGAGCTTGGAGTTCTCTTCCAGCTTTCAGAGGGAGCAGATGGACCTGCACCAGCTCCATAAGATCCCTAGTTATTCTGCCTGACCCAATGTTGTTGTACTTACTGTTATTGATCAATAAGCTTCTTGTTGTCTAAGAACATGGCCTCTTCTGTAGATACTCAATGGAGATGTATCCTCCACCAGGAGTCACTAGAGAGGAACAAGGCAATGCAAAGACAAAGGAGGATTGGTGGTAGGAAGCTACCTCAAACAACACTTACCCAGTCTTCCACGCTGGCAGAGGGGGCAAATACCACAAGGTGCCAGGAAAATACCACTAGAGAAATATCGAAATGCATCTGGTAAAAGTTGGTGGGTGAGTGAAGTAAGGGGCTGGACAGGGTCAATGCTGAGAGGATGTTTCCCCACATGGCAGAGTCCAGGACCAGAGGGCACAGTCTCAGAATTAAGGGGAACCAATTTAAGACTGAGGCGAGGAGGGATTTCTTCTCTCAGAAGGTTGAAGGTCTTTGAAACTCCTTGCCACAGAGGACGGGGGTGGGTGGGCAGAGTCTTTGTGTATATTGAAGGCTGAGTTTGGGAGATTCTGGGTCAATCAGGGACTCAACGGTTATGGGGAAAGGGCAGGAAAGTGGGTGTAAAGAATGTTTGATCATTCTGAATGGCAGAGCAGGCTTGATTGGGCATATTTCTTATGGGCAATGATGATGAAATGGAGATATCAACAAGCTGATTCTTCATGCAAAGCAGCTCAGCCTGAGGGGTGGTGTGGAGCAGAGGATGGGCCAGAGACGGAAATGAGTCCCTATCTTCAAGCCTGTGTCTGTATTGATTTTGGTATTTACATTAATTCACTTTAAAAACCTTTGCTCAAATTCTTGTCAAGTTTCCCAAATTCAGGAAGTGGCCACGGTTGTAGCGTAATGTACCCATTTGCTACTTGAACATAGTCTTATAACGATGGCAAAAAGACGAGAGGAAATGGGTTTAATCTCATGATGCTCGGCAAAATATAACTGCAAGTTATTCTACAGAAATTGTTGTCTAGTCCCCAGCAAGGTTATATCAACCGCTGCTTAACCTCAACACCGATTTAAATAGAAAACAGCTCCCCAGATATTTCCTATTCAGAGATGTTACAACGTACCTCTAGTCTTGAACCTGGACCTCCTGGTCCAGAGGTAGGGGCACTATAGCATAAGAGCCCCACCACACAGATTTCAACATAATAAGGGTTTGAGTTATAAAATAGGCTGAACAGACTGGAGTGTAGGAGGTTGAGGAGTGACCTTATATAGGTTTGTAAAATCATGAGGGTATAGATAGGGTTAATGGTAGGTATCTTTTCCCTAGGATGGGGGATTTCAAGACTAGGGGCATTTTTTTTTGTAAGGTGAGAGGAAAAAGATTTCAAAAGGACATGAGGGACAATTTTTTTTTTACGCAGAGGGTGATTTACATATGGAATGAACTTCCAGAGGAAGTGATGGTTGCAGGTACAGTTAGAATGTTTAAAAGACATTTGGATAGGTACATGAATAGGAAAGGTTTAGAGGGATATGGGCGAAATGCAGGCAACTGGGACTAGTTTAGTTTGGGAACATGGTCGTTGTGGACTGTTTGGACTGAAGGGTCTGTTTCCGTGCTGTATGACTCTAGGTTCACATGCACATTTACTGAACAAATATCTCCAGTGCTGTTCTCTAATCAAGGAAGTGAGACACTGACAAAATGATTAAGAAAAGCACTCTCTGGTCCTTTCACCTTTTCAGTACCGAATGCGTACACTGTGACCAGGAGCATTGAGGTCACAGAAGCTCGGATACAACTGGCAATGCAATCAGCCCCATTTGGATTCCTAAGTAGCCATGTGGCCAGCGGTCAATGTGTTAGATAGACAGCAGGGTCCCAGTGCCTGTCACCAATGGAGCTGATATAAAAACAGAAAGTGCTGCAGAAACTCAGCAGG